AATGGGTATGGCGTACAAAACTTAAAATCTTTGAGAGATGCTAATCTTAACCCATCTAAACGTTTGCCGAAAAACCCTAGCATCAGGACATAGGACTAGGATAAGCCCTTAGACCTAGGCTACATTACCAAGTCTATAACTTAAGACATAGGCCTAAGCTAAATTAAAATATTTTTCTATAGGCCTAGGTCTATTTATCCAATCCATCGAAAATCATTTCTTCATTCTTAAATGAAACTTCATAACTTCGGCCTATGATAACTTAAGACAATCTGCGCTGATAAAAAACTGCATCATTAAGTTACATATTGGCTTGTGTGTTCATAATATTGTAGCCCACCGGATTTGGCAAAAATAAGTAACTAGGTCTTGAACAATTCCAGATACAATATTCCAACGGATCACAATACTTTCTAGGCCAACTATAAAACAATTCACCAGTCATGAGGCCTAGGGCAAGCACAGGCCTAGAATTATTCTGGATCCTAGTCCAAATTTGGCAGTTTATTGTTGTAAGATAATCTTCAGAGCATTTGTAACTTGAGGTTCTAATGCCAGTATGATTAGCATTCTAACACACATATCTTATCATAAGAATGGAAAAAATATTATGAATACAATGAAAAGATTAGCTGACTCACCTTTATGTTTCGTTGGCTCACAAGCACTTTTGTTGCAGTTAGTCTTCTAAAATCGAACACTATGGAATTAACTATGAACAAAGAAATTGAAAATTGACAAAAACTAACTTCAATATGAATACTTTATGTCTAAAAACTCTGATATAGTAATAACCCGAGAAACAAACGTCGCAAAAAGACAAACTGACAAGACACACAAAGACAAAGACAAAGAGGTTAGGATTGTTTAGGGGTGGATCCTGGCGTCTGGCTGGCGTCGCTTGGTCGAACTGCATCATGGGAATTCGCGCTGTTGTTTTGTTGACTCTGTTTCAGGGCGGAATCTATGAACTCAAAAAGGGCAGTATTTTGTTGTCCTTGAATCCAGCCACAATGTTCCTAATATTTGCAACCTTGAATTGTGAATGCAAATTGTAGGGAAAAGTTTACCTTGAATCAAGGGTCCTTGCTATCTGGGCACATACAAGTGAAAATTTGGCATCAGCCATTAACCAAATAATGGCAAAGTTTCATGTAAGTGATAAGGTTGCAATTTTAGTAAGTGACAATGCAAGTAGTGTTGTGGCAGCAGCAGCGATCCTTAAAGTAAAACATTTTGGGTGTTTCGCACACACGGTAAATTTAGTTTTACAAAATGGTTTGAAACTCGTTGTAGGGTTGGTTGATCGTGTAAAAACTGTTGTCTGACATTTCAAGAGAAGTTCAAACTCTACTAATAAATTTATTGAAGTGCAGAAAACCATGGGCTTAAACCCAAAAAAACTCATCAATGAGGTAGCAACCAGGTGGAATTCCACCTTTTACATGTTATCAAGAATTGTGGAACTACAGGATGTAGTCAAGACAACTGTAGCATTAATAAACAAAGGTCTCCCCGTGTTAACAGAAATTGGGTGGACGATTTGCTCAGAACTGATTATTGTACTCCAACCTTTCGAGGAGGTAACAAGGAATCTTGGAGGAGAGGGCTATATGACAGGCAGTCAGGTAATTCCCCTGACCAACAGTTTAATACGTGTTTGCAATCAAATGCTTAAAGAACAGTTTCGACCTGAGACTCTGGCTGTCATCAAGGAATTATTAAAAGGATTGACAACAAGACTGGCTAACATTGAATCAAGCAAAACAATAGCACTGTCAACTTTGCTTGATCCTAGATTCAAATTGGCAGTGTTTACAGACAAACATGCAGCTGATGGCATCAAAGCCCACTGTTCACACCTGATGGCTGGTATTTGGCAGAGAAAGTATACAGCAAGAACTGACTGTGCATCAACTGCGAATGAGGCTAAAGGCCAAGAAACAAATGAAGATGATCAACCTGAACAAACATCAAAATTTTCAGTCTGGAAGGACCTTGACAGTATGATATCTTCAAAAAAACCTTCAGGTAATTTATTAATCCTACATACATACATACACTGTCTTCTGTAATTTAATTTTACATAACCACCGCCACCGGCACGATTTAAACTTCAATTCATCTTAATAACCTACATACAGTTTTTATAGTAGGCCTTCTGTATAATTTTAAATTCGATATTGTGCTTTATTTCAGGATCCAAAACATCTGCAGCAATTGTGGAGCTAAACCGATATTTAGAAGAAGAGTGTATCGGACGGAAAGAGAATCCTCTTCTTTGGTGGAAACATAATGAAAAGCTATATCCACTACTCAGCGAAGTTGCAAAAACTAAGTTCTGTGTTGTAGGAACATCGGTTCCCTGCGAGAGACTTTTTTCCAAAGCTGGCTACATCAGTTCTGAAAGACGTACCAGACTAGACTCAAAAAGAGCAGAACAGCTCTTGTTCTTAAATTCGAATTCTTACTTAATTAAAAATAAACAAGGCACTACTTAACTATGGTAAACTTGGTAAAAGTAACATTGTACTATTCATTTTTGTATAGTATTCAATTCATTTTTGTATAGTATTCAAAAAGTATGTTTGGTTTTTTACACTTTATAATATGTTATAGGCCTACTTATCAGTTTTCAAATAATAAGACATTGTTAATTACATGTTTTTTTTTATTCCTTAAAAATGTTCACTCCTATAAACTAATAATACTTAAATTACTGAGATTTTCAGTATTCCCATAATAGTTGTCCTAATAACTAAAAATAAAATGGTGTTTTTATTGTATTTTGTTGTATAATCAGTCGAGAAACAAGACTAATTTTAAAGTATACAATTAATTATTAACTTGCATCTGTTACTGTTACTATGTTGCAGTGCATTGAACATTGAACTTTCACTTTGAATAATTTAGAATAACTCACATTACTCTATCACCGTAGAGATGGAAATTACGGCTAATTTTCGATAACGCGTTCCACCGTTCCGTGACTGACTGTTGACATTACCAAATGGATCTGGAGGGAATGTATGTAACGGTAACGAACGCGGTAACTGAAGCCATGAAGTGACACGGTATTAGGTGACAGAAGTAACAGGTTACTGTCACCTAATACCAGTCAGTCACGGAACGGTGGAACGCGTTATCGAAAAGTAGCCGTAATTTCCATCTCTAACTACCGTAATCTGTTATGATGAATCTTATATCAAGTCATCAATCATAATTATAATTATACCATCAACACTAGCGCTCTAGTGGTGAATTAACAGACTGGTTTAGGTAAAAAGTGAGGTTATGTTACATATACAAGAGATCAAACCTCCAACACTCATATACAAACAGTTAACTATACAAAAAACACCCCTACCGGAAATGATTGGTGATTGGTAAGGATTAAACCTCTAAAACACCCACTACAATACAACACTATACAAAAAACAACCTAAGTAACTCATTTAGCATAAATTAGATGTAAGTTTAACATAATATATTTGGTGACCTTTACAAAGGCCATTTTTATACTCAGTGGTAAAGTTTAGCCTTCTTTCAGCTGTTTTTAACATCAGATACATAAATTATCATTTGTTTCATCACACTATAGCATATATAGAATAACCTCCAATGATATATTAGTTAGCATTAAACCTCTAGTATAGGCTAGAATCGAACCCACAGACCTCCAACCAATATTTACACACCCTGTATATGTAAGTTACAGAGATACACATATACAAATTATAGTATCAATATAACCTCCAATACTACTACACATTTAACATTCTTTTATGATCAACGGTAAAATTCCACTTAAGCCCTCTTTCAGCTGATTTATATTTATTATACACTATAAAATAACCTCCAACATTTACCATTATGATCAACAGTAAGGTTTAAGCATTATACACTATATAATGTGTTTTTTTACAGACCTACTAGGATAGGATTGAACCCATAGACCTCAGTTACCATTAGTGGTTGGTTAGATTCGAACCTGTGAACCTCTAGCATAGGGTTAGGATTAAATAACCAGAAATGATAGGTTAGATTCGAACCCGTGAACCTTCAATGATAGGTTAGCATTAAACCCATAGACCTCTAGCATAGGTTAGGATTGAACCAGTAAACCTCAGTTACCATTAGTGGTTGGTTAGATTCGAACCCGTGAACCTCTAACATAGGTTAGATTCGAACCCGTGAACCTCCAATGATAGGTTAGCATTAAACCCATAGACCTCTAGCATAGGTTAGGATTGAACCAGTAAACCTCAGTTACCATTAGTGGTTGGTTAGATTCGAACCCGTGAACCTCTAACATAGGTTAGATTCGAACCCGTGAACCTCCAATGATAGGTTAGCATTAAACCCATAGACCTCTAGCATAGGTTAGGATTGAACCCATAAACCTCCCACTATAATACCATTAGTGGTTGGTTAGATTCGAACCCGTGAACCTCTAACATAGGTTAGATTCGAACCCATGAACCTCCATGTTAAAATCAAATCTCCAATACACACCCTGTATATAGGTACAAAGGTATAGGTATAAGGTGTCATTTACCACCATACCCATAACTACTGTTGTGGCTCATATGGTAACGACTCCAACTACCAACAAAAAGACCGGGGTTCGAAACCCGGTCAGGCCAACACTTTTTATCCACAAAACACCTACTGCACGTGGTCAGCTAATCAGCTGAGAGTACACCTAGATCATCTCAAGGTCAAATTTTGGCCCAATCGCTGGCCTGACTACTCTCCATAAGAGCCCATGTTAGACCCAACGTACCGGCCCTAACTACTATTAATCCTAAGAAATATTATCATAGATTAAACATGCATCCAATACACCATATGGTAATAAAATTATGGGAGAACTTCAGAGTCTCATGGTAAAAAAAGAAAACACAAGGAAACGGGCCTCGGCCTGTTCGTTCCACCATCACCTTGTTTTTCTTATTCAGTTATCTGCTTATCTGCGCATCTTTTTGTAAGGAGGGAACATGCAATGCAATTGTACTAAAATTGTAGGTTTGATTTAGATTTTTTGTTAGATTAAGATTAGATTAGAATTGCAATTGAATTAGAATCAGTGAATCAGTATTGGACTTCCGTCCGGTTTTCCGGTTCAGTGGTTCAGAAACACAGAGACCAGAGACTGTTCAAAGGAAAGATCATCAGCATCAGCGATCAGCGTAGCGTGGCAGACCCACACCCAGTAGCCTTCCTAAATCCTACTAAATCGTAATAGAATAGGCCTATTGAGTGACAGACAGAGGCAATGAATGAAATGCCGGTAAATATAAGAGATATAAAAATAAGAGATGTGCCGGTAAGCTTCCCATTTAAACCATACGAACTTCAGGAAGATTTCATGTCAAAAGTTATAGAATGTCTTCAAAAGGTGAGTTTGTCTGGACTAGTCTAGGCCTATTAGGGGTTGGACAACTTCAAATAACCTAATAACTTAGATGTACACATTTGATTGAGATTGTGCAACAACTGGAGTTGTAGCCTACACTGTTTAACTTTTAGAAATGTACTTTAACACGTTTGCTGCGGCCATCAAATGGCATGCGTAGGCCTAGCCCCAGTGCGGCGCAGCCCGCAGCGTCGAACAAACCCGATTGCTGGGTGATTGGCTTTTATATTTCGGTATGACGAATAGCAAATAACGTGCGGTGATGTCCTGTTTTATAACAAGAGTCGATGTAGTTCGCTAAAAACTCACATAGCGCCTATAGCAGCACTGCTTGGAATGTAGCCGGTCCCATCGTATTGCCAATTGGAGGGAGAAAGACGGGACAACAAGTTGATTTTTAAGTTTGCCAGACGGGGATTTTATGGGGAAATTTTACTACTAACCTACAACACAACAAAAAGCAAGTCACCCACTACACGCTAACGTGGAATAGATGGACCGACGCTAGAGCAAAAACGATGATATACGAAAGGCATTGCCGAGTGTATCCGATCCGTTACGGCAGCATCTGAACAGCGCTCGGCCCGTATCCGATCGGATACGCCTGCAGTGAACGTGTTAATACTTTACTGTGCTTAGAAATGGTGACCATTGGATTGTAGTTGGTAAGTTATTTAAGACTGTGCAATAGGCCTAACCGGTAGCCAGGGAGGGGCTGGGCTGTAGAAAAACACTTTCGCTAGCCAACTTATATAGTTTCACTTAGGCCTATCCATTAATAGGGTTGCCTTTAGTGACGTGACGAGTTGAGTTGGCGAGTCTAGTTGACTCGAGTCAAGACCCGAGTCGAGTCATCTCATTCTCAACTCGAGTTGGTACGAACTCCTACGGAGATTGCCGAAGCTACACGAACTCGTAACGTAACGAGTCCGACTTGCAAAACTTAAACGCTATTGGTTCACAGCCTCAAAGCGAGTCAAGAAACTGAACTCATACGTAGAAAGCCAAACCTATACGAACTCGGGACGTAAAGAGTTGACTCACTTTTGGCCAATAGCTTCACAGCTTTACAAGGCGACTCGCATAGATTCAACGCTATTGGCGGGAGTTGACTCGTATAACTGAAACCTTATTGGCCGAGTGCAAGTCTGGTGGGATCTGTATCAGTTCAAATTGTTTAATAGAACTCGTACGGAGAATGCTGAACTTACACGAACTCAGAACGTTTTGAGTTGAGTCGACTCGACTCGTAAAGCTGATACGCTATTGGCCGCAACCGAGTTGGCCGACTCGCAAAACTCTAACCCTATTGGTCGACTCCAAGTCGTTGCGGACTCCCATGATGCATTGGTTACGGGTCGAGTTTCGATTTGAGTCTGACTCGACTCGTAACTCGAGTTCACGGCAGTTGGCGAGTCGAGTCAGGAAAGTACCCGACTCGTCACATCACTAGTTGCCTTATGGTAATTTGTAAAAAGAGGAGATTTTAGCTGGCGGCCTCCACTACAGTAAATACAAATTTACAGGCTAGCTAAATTGTAGGCCCATACCTACATAGGCTAGCACAAATAAATATAATAACAGAAACGGTATAAGCCAAAAGAACTACACAAAAAAAAATTGGCAAATATTTACCGTACCAGTAGGCCTACTTACACTAAGATATGATGTTTTTTTTTATGTGTCTACTTACAGTATTGTTAACGCTGAATCCTAAAATGCAATCAGTTTTTGTTGGAGTGATTCCTAAGTGGCCGTAAAACGAAGGTTAGGATTACGAATCTAAGGATAATTGAGCGGTACTGATGGTAGTGGTAATATGGCGTGGTCTGGACGGGTCAGTACTGAGTGAGAAGAGCATACATATACTTGATCTAACGCGGAATGAAATCAAATCAATTCGTTTTGAAACCAAATAATGAGTTCTTATTAAGGCATGTGAGGAAGGTAGGTCGGGTTTTATGCAGATTCGTGCCTGTATTAAGTGTTTTGAAGTGAGGTTAGATTAGAAAGGTAAAGGTTAGGTTTATGAACTGACTCATTAATTTATGCTACTTCCAGACTGTTTTTGCATAGTTAAATAGTGGGTGAAACACAATGAAATAACGATATTAAAAATGTGCAGGCTCATTATAACCTAACCTTAAACTTACCTAATCTAACCTCACTTCAAAGGGCTTAATACCGTCACGAATCCGCATAAAGTCCGTATCTTCCTCATTGGTAGCCTATTAAGGTTGGGTTGGGTTAGGTTAGATTAGATAAGATTATGTAACATCATTTATTAGCTGCTGATACATGAAGTTATGAGTAGATAGTAATGTACCAATCCTAGACCAAAAAAGGAAGACTTTAATAATTTAATGAAATTTGTTGTTTTTCAATACTAATGTTAAATTTTTGCCTCTTTTAGGCCAATTTCTAACATTTTCATATTTTTCTAGAAAAAGTATATAATTTTGATGAAATTTTCATGAATATGTCTATATTTTCCATAAAATTGAGTACAAAACAAAATGTTTTTAAAAACAAGTAAAATTTTAAAATTTAATGAGTAGTTTTTATACAAATTTAACTAAAACAGTTTCTTTATCTTTGAATGTTTTAATTTCAGTAATAATTAAGTTTAAATCTTTTTTATTTAATTCTTTAATTGTTTTTTCATCAAATATATTAATAAATCTATGAGGCAAATGAACTTTACATTTTTCTAATTCAACAATAACTGTTGGTCCATATTTATCTTTAACTTTATCAAATTTTTCTATTTTATAGTTTGTATTCAATTCTAAACTTTTTATTGGTTTATATTCTTTGAATTTACATTCTCCAATATTATTAATCTCTTCTAATAGATCCATTTATTACAAAAAATAATTATAGAAATTTTAAACAGTTAATAATTGAAATATATGAAAAGAATTTTAAATAATAAATTCCATAAATTTAATAATTTATTTAATAATTAAACCTTAAATAAGCCTTTACAAACTTGTTTTTTCAATCAATTAATCTACTTCAAGATTTTTATGATATAAAAAACTTTAATAATTCTAATAAATTTCATGTTTTTAATAGTTTATTTAATAATTAAACCTTTATAAACTCATTTTTAATCATTTATTAACGCGTCGCGATTTTTGCGACGCGTCAAATATTTAATAAATTCCATAAATTTAATAATTTATTTGATAAATAAACCTTAAATAAACCTTTACAAACTTGTTTTTTTAATCAATTAATCTACTTCAAGATTTTTATGATATAAAAAACTTTAATAATTTTAATAAATTTCATATTTTTTAATAGTTTATTTAATAATTAAACCTTTATAAACTCATTTTTAATCATTTATTAACGCGTCGTGATTTTTGCGACGCGTCAAATATTTAATAAATTCCATAAATTTAATAATTTATTTGATAAATAAACCTTAAATAAACCTTTACAAACTTGTTTTTTTAATCAATTAATCTACTTCAAGATTTTTATGATATAAAAAACTTTAATAATTTTAATAAATTTCATATTTTTTAATAGTTTATTTAATAATTAAACCTTTATAAACTCATTTTTAATCATTTATTAACGCGTCGCGATTTTTGCGACGCGTCAAATATTTAATAAATTCCATAAATTTAATAATTTATTTGATAAATAAACCTTAAATAAACCTTTACAAACTTGTTTTTTTAATCAATTAATCTACTTCAAGATTTTTATGATATAAAAAACTTTAATAATTTTAATAAATTTCATATTTTTTAATAGTTTATTTAATAATTAAACCTTTATAATCTCATTTTTAATCATTTATTAACGCGTCGCGATTTTTGCGACGCGTCAAATATTTAATAAATTCCATAAATTTAATAATTTATTTGATAAATAAACCTTAAATAAACCTTTACAAACTTGTTTTTTTAATCAATTAATCTACTTTAAGATTTTTATGATGTAAAAAACTTTAATAATTCTAATAAATTTCATATTTTTTAATAGTTTATTTAATAATTAAACCTTTATAAACTCATTTTTAATCATTTATTGACGCGTCGTTTTAGTAAATTTTGCCTGACTTTTAGTATGACTCTGTACGGCTGACAAGTATCCAATCTTAAGCCAATGTGATTTAAATACTCGTAATGAACTTTAAACTAATTAGTTGAAGACGTTGGTAATTGATCTAATATCGAATAAAAGGCAAAACAATTCCTACAGAGTCGTCGGACCTAATTAATTAATATAATCGAATGGAGAATTTATCGTGGGATGATTGAAAATAAATTTAGTATTAGTTTACGTAGCTGATTGTTTAAATCAGCTGCTCCCAAGACTTGATTCTTTCACCCGCCAAAGACGGGGTTTAGAACTTAGACGACAAGTCTCAGGGTATTAAAACGACGTAAAACGGGAATAAAATCTGAACGGCGAAACAAATAAACGATAGATTTAATAACGAATTAAATTAAACGAATGCAACACTTACGGCCACCGCTAGTCACTGGCAAGCAGGAACTGGCGGGTCAAGACTCAAGTTAAAGTTATTAAATTTAGACCATTCGAATCTGGACTTTAATACAGCGAATACGAATAATAGATTAAGAATTGCGTGAAAAGAAAATAACGTAAAACGTGAAAAGGTCCTAACTAAGTATGCTAGCTAACCTTCGTAACAAAATCGTATAGTCGTGTCGATTATCGTGCGAGCGTAGATGTAACGACGAAGTTACTTCGAAGACGGCGTACGAACGAATAATCCTGTCTTGGAGTAAAATCCTTCGTTCCTGCCCGCTCGAGGCTTACGCGCTCAAGCGGCGAACTCAAGTACTACTAGACAACAGCTGATCGAATTCACTTGTTGACGTTGTTGAGCTGGTCTAGTTTCGTCTGTCGTCTGTCAACAAATAAACACCAGTTTGGGGTTATGTCGTCGTCGGCGTTAAATACCTGTAAAATCGGCCGGTTTAACTTTATTATGT